GCCTCTGAAGGGCTGTCCCATGTTTAGCACCCCGTACATTGACCCCTGTGGGGGGGGGGGGGAAAGAGTACCTATAAAATATATTCATGGGAGGCATGAATGAGTACCTTGGTCCGGTTTCCTTTCCCAGTAGGAGCATCCGGATCTGTGTCCTCGTCCGATGCCACACTGTCATAGTCCGGCTGGTCATTGTCCTGGCCTTCGCTTCCATGCCTGCTGCTCACGCTCTTCAAAATTAGCTCCACATTTTCTACGAGGGACAAAGGACCGTCACCAAGAGCACCACTAGAATGAGAGACATGCCCCATGTCACGCTCTCCGGCCTCACCTTTGGGACTGGTGACTGAGCTCCCCTGCTGCCGGCGTTTGGCGTCGCTCAAGATGTCGATGACAAGCGTCGCAAACTCGTGCGCATTGAACCTGGCGAGTTTCTGTCGTCCCTGAGTAAACAAAGAGGCCAAACTAATGATCTAGTCTCATAGCGGAGCACTATATACAGAGAACATGATCATCTGGTTTCCTTAAGGAACTGGAACGGGGGGCGGCTTGCCTGATTTCTTGTTGACGAGTACTCTGGGTTCACAGGAAGGAAAGGCACCACTGTTGTTTCCGTCACCAGGGTACTGTGGTTCTGAGTGGCCAGCCATACTATAAACAACAAAAACAAACTTACACACCGCTACCCATTTGACCGGCAGTATCGCACATATTGATTATACACTTTATTCCTGCCCTAGGAGCTCTTATAAATGACAGCGTTGGGCTTTAGTTACCTGGCTGTCATTTTAATCGCGCTCCCTGAAAGAGGAGGGTGTGGTTGCTCTTCCACACCTCAAGCTGTGCCGTAACAGCACGAGCCATCCGTTTTATACTCACCGGCGTCTGTCTCCCTCCTGTCCACCTCGTCGTACACGTCCATCGCCAGCTCTTCAAAGAGGTGATTGCTGAGCTGCAATTTATTAAATAGTGAGAGCAGATGACAGGTTTGATGCAGAATAAAACTGTTGCTATTTCGTCTACGAGATGAATATCAAGTATGTGACGTAGCTGTAAGTGATTGTTACAGAGGTTGCAGACAGCACTTTCCAAACTGTAGCCTTCACCCATACAACTCCCTATAGCTCTCAGTTCATAGCACTTTGTGTTCATCGCACAGAAAACATGACAAAGAAAAGTCACTTACAGACTGGAGCTTTTTTTTTGCAGCTTTTGCCAATTCCGATAAATCCTGACTGCTGCAGATAGAATTAGTTAAAAAAAAATAAAAAATAGAGTGAAAAACGAGCAAGAAAAGGCAAGAAATACCCAATGAAACTCCCAGCAAATACTCACACATTTCTTATCCATCCAAAGGATGCGACAAAAAGAAAAGGGGTATTTTATAAAGATGGCACAATATCAGGTTCTGTTCAGCTAAAAGCTGAGTCACGTCAAAAGAAACATGATCTGTTGCTACAGGTCACACATTCAGATATTTTTAGCATCCAGAACAGTGAATCCCTTAACATGCAGTAATATTCTCAACATTTCCTTTCAGGAAGGTTCAAGACCCCTCCTGGGGTGACATATCAAAGCTGACTTAACCCCTCAGCCAAGCAGTCACCCTAAACAGATTCCTGCCGTGACTATATGCCCTGTGCCTTACCTGTCGGCCATCTGGGGGATAATGAAGTGCTGTCCATTTTTGTGATCTGAAAGAAGTGGAGGATGAAACACAGGTCAGCCCACAGGGGAGCAGAGGGGCACAAAGTGCAGCGTTTGACTGGGCGTCCCCTCCTTGCTCACCTGGTTTCCTCCCACACAGGTAAAACGCCAACCTGTCTGTAAGCTCATACTGAATCTCCACCAGCCTGTCGGCCAAGTCATGGTGCCCTGCTTGTCTGAAATGAAACAATTACGAAACATTATGTCTTTCACAAACAACCAACATCCCAGATCTGCGCATATAAACTCATCTCACAGGAAGTACTTCAGCACGCTGTCCGCCCAATCGAAAAGCACATACCTTGCATAGTCGATTGGCGTTTTGCCGTTGCTGTCCGGAGCCCCTGGGTCAGCACCATAAACCGTAAGCAGCTCTACCTGGGAGACTTGGCCTGCCTTGGCAGCCACGTGCAGTGGAGTGTTCCCTTTTTCCTGGGGGCGTGGTCAGGGGCGGGGGCAGGGCAGGGAGCCATGAGCCTCCACATCACATCTGTAGCACCTGATTCAGCTGCACATCCACAGATGCTAAAGGGGACCTGAATGTGCCACTCTGGCTGTAACCTCAGCTACCATGTCAGGCTCCCTGAAATGAGGGCTTTGAAACCAAAACTGATCATTTTTCATAATCTCCTTACTGTTGATCCTCCAACACAACAGCACTTTCAACACACAGCTCTTTGAAGATAATCATTTATCCAGGATTCAGTTAAGACAATTAAGGATTTCTTTTTGCCAGGTTTCTAATATGGCTTGCATTAATTGTTTTTGAGACCTTTCCAGCTGTATTTCAGCCATCAGAACCAATACAATAGGTTGAAGAATCAGCCCAGTCAAGACGTGTTCAGAGCGAGCTAGGAGGGTGTCAGTAGTTACACAATTTACTGACTCACGTCAACATGCAGAAAGCACAGGAAAAACATTTAACTGAAAGGTAGACTAAAGGATCAGAAACCATATAGCACCTCTACTCAAGATGCCTCCCATGAATATATTTTATTGATTTATGTCTGCTCTTTCTGCGAAGAATCACTCAGACTGTATTTTTGTTCATTGATTTGGCACAGCTTTCCATTTCCTCAGTAACACGTTAGCACCTGTTATGCATTCATGAAGATCTTTTGAGTTGACCAGTCCATTAGCAGGGCCGCTAACCTCCACAGGTCTCCACCAACGCTATACTAATCGAGTTTTTAACCCACTTGTTACTATTTTGGCTGATAGCTCACATGACCGGAAGCTACAGAGCTGCGATTCTGAGATAAGTGGGGTTTTTTTTAATTTCTTTTTTATTGATAGACCATGTGACTAGATACATGCGACTTCTGCAGTGCTCTTACCGGGTGGAAGAAATTGGCCTGGGCTCCCAGGGACAGTAACCTCAGACACGTCTCCAGATTACCAGTTCGCACACTAGAGTGTAATTGCTGTGGATGACAACATCGTAAACAGGCATTTTACTTCCAGCTCAAATTCCAGGCTTGGGAACCTAACAGCTTATGCTTAAAAGGACTAAAGTTACAGGAAAAAGACTTGCACTGCCCTCCTCCCCCACCTTGCTGAGGTCCTTGGCCGTAAAGCTGTCATCATCTCGGCACGGCATGCGATGGACAAACGCAAGCATTTGGTATTTGGCTTTTATAAACTCCGTTTTGTTTGGGCTGTGGACAGACAGAAAAGAGTAAGGCGAAAAGATCGATTTGATGACAGATTCCACCCTCTTAACATCTTCCCTTTTTCTGCCACGCAACAAACTGGGCCGAAGTGCAGGGCCCGTCACACACGCATGCAAGCGGGGGGAGGGGGAGGACATACTGCACTTTGTCCTGAGGGATGGCCTTCCGCTTCCCGCTCATGACGGAAGCTGGGTCCAGCAAAGAGTGCTCCCATATTGAATTTGCCCCATTGTTGTATAGCATCTGAACCATCTGGGAGCGAAGAAGAAAAAGAAGAAAGGAAAAAAAAAAAAACTTCTCTATAATGTCCTGGAAGATGTACACTGGCCATTTCAACCTCACAGGCAGACAGGAGTGTTTGCAATTATAAAACCATCAACAGGAACGTCTGCAGCAATATCACATTACAACACTATCCTTTAAGAACGCCAGATTAAATAAACAAGCTAATTATCCTGTGCCACAAAATGCAATCTCTCAGAAAACCATTCACCAGGCAAGCTTCGGTCTTCAATATACAATCAACAGTACAATGCTACACATAACTGACTACAGACTTCTCAAAGAAAGCCCCTCCAAAACAGTCATTACAGTAAAACTAACAAATGCTGATGCAACTGTCAGTGAAGATAGAGACTGCCCAGAAGTAGAAGTGCTCATTTATCTGGAAGAGATGGGGACAGCGTAGGTCAGAAGCTTACCTGCAGCTGAGTGGGTGGCCAGGGCGTGTGTGTCAGGTGGCGAACCTGCGAGCTGTGGCGGCCCAGGCTCCGGTGGACGCTGCAGCACTCGTCGCATATCAGCACGCCTCGGTTCACGGACGCCCAGCGAGGTTCTGCCCAAGGGCAACAGATGCAGCACAGACATTTGGTACATGTTACCGGCACTACACAGGGCCTTCCTAGTGCAAACGCTCTCGGCTTAGGGGTCAACTAGAGAGATCCCCACTATGACATCACACTAGGCAAAGAAATAGATAAACCAACAGTGAAACTGGGCCACAAACACACTTTCATTCTTTCTTGCAGTATCAATGACTAGACTGGACTAGCTTTGATCTGACTTTTCTTTCTGTTAAAGTGTTCCTCAGTTCAGAGGCATGGAAGGTAATTTCCTTTAGCATCACCGAGTATAAAAACACTCAGCTTGAGAGTGAGCCAGCCAACCTAAGTCAATAACACATTACAATCCACAATAATATCAAGTACAATCAATATTCTTAGAAAGATTTTCAGGAAATCCCTGAAATACATAAGACCATTTGTAGTGTGCCGGTGCATAATGGATTCCAGTTACGGAAGAACAATCCTTTGTTTTGGAACAAAATTATATTAAGGCTAGGAAATATCTTTTAAAAAATTTATATTTTAAAATATCTGGAGAAACATCAATATTGAGTTATCGAACGCCAACCCCCCTAAATTCAGAAACATGTACAGTATATAGTCAACAGCTCTATATTAATTTATTGAATTATTTTTTTAATGCAAACAGAATGTGCAAATGTGATGGGTCATGAAGTTCA